TCTCTCTCTCTCTCTCTCTCTCTCTCTCTCTCTCTCTCTCTCTCTCTGTGTGTGTGTGTGTGTACATGTACATATACATATATGCCAAAGTATATGGGGAGGGAGGTCAGAGGATAGTTTGTGGGAGCTGGTTCATTTCCACCAAGTGAGTCTTGAGGATTGAACTCCAATCATTAGACTCAGCAGCAAATGCCTTTATCTCGCGTAGCCATTTCAGTTTTATCCTGTTCAGACATTAATTCTTTGTTTGATGCCTAAATATACCAGTTTCTTTTCTCTACTCTACCTCTTAGAATCCTTTTAATTTGTTTTACTATCCTTTGATCTTTTATATAGAACATTTTTCTTTGTAAAATTCCTGGTGTTTATTGATTGTTTCATCTTCATTTAAGAGAGTGATGCTACCTGATTGGAATTTCTCAGTAGTTTTTACTGCATGCATTGTTTTGATGGATTTCTTTAGGGAGAAATGTGTAATTAGCTCTATTTGAGATAAGCCTCACTCCTTTCTTATATTTTCCTTTCATACCAAATCGCAGCCCCCCTCTTTTTTTCTTTTCTTTTTACTCTGCATTTTCCATATCTAAGACTGGTTTACTCTAATTTGTTTCTTCATCTGTGGCTTCTTAGTCTTATTCCTCCCCCTTTTAAAAGACAATTGATAGGATATAATACCTTTTTTCAGAGTTAATTGTTCTAAATGTATGGCTGAAATTCATTTTGACTGCATTTTTTTTTTATCTGCTCTAAATAACCATTATCTGTCTCAAGTCTACTAGTTACTGACTTAGAGAGCAAGATGTCTAATTTCTTATTGTTACTATTATGTACTTATCACAACCACTAAGTTAGAAATTGTTACTAGGATTATTAAAGTAGATTTCTAATATGCTGCATATAGCAAATACTTTAATTAAAAGACAGTTGCTTCTTTTAAAAATTAGATAATTTAAAAATGGCAGAACTGTTTATGGAATGTGAAGAAGAGGAGCTAGAGCCATGGCAGAAGAAAGTGAAAGAAGTTGAAGAGGATGATGATGATGAGCCCATCTTTGTTGCGGAGATAGCAAGTTCAAAACCAGCTATTTCAAGTAAGCATTTACTTTGAAAGTAGGCAGTTTGAAAAAGTTATTTTTAGTTATAGGATTGTTGTGAAAATGTTCTTATTCTACCATAAGAAGTTAGGAATAAAATACTTGTTTGAGAGTCAGAGTCGACCCCGAGTGAAGTTTTAAGAAAGGATAGAAGCCAAATTCCAGCAGAGCCCATGATTTGCTGGTGGCATTGGAGGTCTTCTGAGAGTAGAAATTATAATTTTAGTGGTACTGAAAAATGAGGTTATCTGATTTTATTTTCTTTTTTCTCTCTTAAACCTAGAATAGCTTAAAGGAAAAATTTAGAATGCTTAGTTTTAAGTTTGGGGATATACTAAAAAATTCGTTAGTCTCAGATGAAATTTCATGTGCAGGCCCCATTGTAGTGTCGTCTACACAGGACTACAAAATGCATACAGAGTGATAATGGGTCATAACCTGACCACAGCTGTCTTTCAGCAGCTAGTTAAATTTGTGCTAAAGAGAGGTGTTGCCTCTAGCCATTGTATTTTTACTATGTTGCAGTTAGCACACTCACATCTCAGGAGTTTTAGTAGAAGAGTCTTTGGATGATTAGCTTTCAGTTAGAGTGCTTGGACTTAACATTGCTACAGTGTTAAGGTAAGAAAACTGATACACAGTAAGCTGTCTACTCAAAAATATTTCAGTTGGAGCCAGGTGTGGTAGCACACACTTTTAATTACAGTACTAAGGAGACACTGGCGAGACAGAGGCAAGTGAATTTCTGTGGGTCTCAGGCCAGCCTAGGCTATATGGTGAGATCTGATCTCAGTGGAAAAAAAAAAATACAAAGTTTTCAAATCTCAAAGATAAAAATATTTTTTCCCATTTTAATTGCATGTTTGTTTTAAGCCAGAAGAATTTATCAAAGAATGGTAATATGTTTAGGTTATTAGTATTTCTTATTTACCTTGGTTAACTGGAGAGTACTATGAAATTTCTGGAATTTCTTGCTTTTCTTTCCTGTAGGCTTGGAATGGCATTTATATATAGTTTTATATAGAGAGAACAATTTAACCAAGTGCATTGTCATTATTATTTTCTGTGGTAGATAGGTAATTTCCGATGGAATGCTAAGTGGGATGTTATTTGGATTATAAAATGAGTTTAATATGATAGTGTGCATATTGCTAATGCCAGAATGGCCTGATTTTTTTTTCTTTCTCATTTCCTGGGTATTGATTATCTGACACTTAAATGTTATTATATTGCAAAATTATTTAATATCTCTTGTTGAAAATATGACAAGATTCAAGTTGAATTTATATTGATTATAGATGACTCTTAATTGTACTCAATTATAACAATCTATATTTGTTTTTAAATAATTCTGTGAGAAAGAGATTGACCCCAGATGTTTTTCTGAATTATGAAGATGAAAATTTGAAATAATTGTGTTACTGTTTTATATGGAGGCCATAAGGAATTTCAACATAGGAAATGTGAATTAAATGTTTAAGAACTTGTCTTTTGTAGATCACAACTACTAAAGTAGTATACCAATAGTTACTTGATAGCTTGAATATTAATTTTGGTTTTCTGAGTGAAAGTAGTATCAAGTTGAGTTGCTGCTGCTGCTTCTTCTTCTTTTTTTTTTTTTAATAAACCTGATGTACTTGATTTGTAAGCACTGAAAATTTTTAACTATAAAATATATTTTTAGTTAGGTGTATAAGTATTTGCCTGCACATATGTATTTATCCAATTTGTTCCTAATGCTCACTGAGACCAGAAGAGGGACGGTATTATATCCCCTCAAACTGACTTTACAGGTGGCTGTGAGACATTATGAGTGATAGGAATTGAACTGTGTCCTCTGTAAGAATAAATATGCTTAACTACTGAGTCATCTCTCTGGCTCTGAAAAATAACCATTATGTGTACCTTTATGCAATTATATAGTGGCATTTAGTTCTTTTCAGCTATGAAGAAAAATGAATTTTTTTGTATATGAATTTCAGTGCATCTTTTAACTGAATAAGCAAATTTCAGCAACTCTTCCTTTTTGCAGATTTTAGTTTGATTATTGAGTAAGCTAGATGTTAACAACTTCACATATTCATGTGTATGTACGAGTAAGAACTTCAAACCAATCCTTCCAGGTCACACCAGTCTTGACTTCTTATGTGGTAGATCAAAATCCTCTTAATGTGTAAGATAGTCAGGTAAAACTTAGATTCAATTTAGTCTATAACTTCTCGTAGTTTCCTTCTTGGAATGGAGATAATTATCTAGTCTGTGGAGAGTCTTCTTTATACAACTTTAGGGCTTTTAGAGCTATGAATAGAATATGGAGGCCGGGTCATGGTTTAATTTTAAGTCAGAACCCAAATAAATATATACAGTTCTTTCACCATACCAAGGAAGGTGTAAACTTCAACTCCATGCAACCAGATTTAAATATGTTTTTAGAAGATTCTATGGGAACAAAAGTTCTTCGCCTTGAAGAAGGTTTTGCTTATATGCACTTGGGTTTATCAATATACTTCTGGTTTTTGGACATTTAGTTACAATGAGAAAGATTGTGCTTATTCTATAAAACAGTTAATGTTCATAAACTATTTTCTAATTAGTGATAGTGTTCCTTCTAATATGTTCAGTTTATAAGTTTTAATATCTCAGTATATATTGCATTCAAACAAATTTCAAATTTAAAGTATCTTTTTTTTTTTTTTTTAGATATTTTGAACAGAGTTAACCCCAGCTCTCATTCAAGAGGAATAAAGAATGGTATACTTAATCGAGGTATAATATTACTATACTACTTGAATTGTAAACTAAAATATTTGAAAAAGTTGATTATATAGGAATGCATTCAATGTGTTGTGTAATTTTAAAATACAGGTTTTACTGCTTCATTCAAGCCTACAAGTCAACGCTGCCTGAATTCAACATCAAATCCTGTGACTGCCTTGCCAGTACATTTTCATCCTGAATCTAGATCTTCAGATAGCTCTGTTATTGTTCAGCCATTTTCTAAACCTGTAAGTGTTTTCGAAACTACATAGTCAGCTCAGGGAATATTAACAATACCCAATTAAAATTCTATTTTATCAGCAAGTAGTCATCTAGTTGGTAGCATAATCGGTATCAGAAAAGGTTAGCATCTGTATGACAGCTTAATTAGTACCTCACACTTAAGTAAGTTGGGCATATGCTTAAACTGATTAGGTATAGCTTTGAAAACTAATACTGTCAAAATGTGAATAGAAGAATTATAATGAATATCACATGATAGAAAAATGTTTATGCTTTCAAACAGGGCCAGGTATTTTTTCATTTGGAAATTATTGAGAAGTTTTGATAGTAGTATTTTATTCTGAGAAATGTACCTTCATACTTTATTTAAAAATCTTTAGTGAAAAGTAATAGATAGTGGTAATAATTATAATTTTTAAGCTAGTCATAGACATAAATATTTGTGCTAAATGTTTTACATAAATGAATCTCATTTAGTTTTTAAATATACCTAGGATGCAGGCATCGCTACTTCTTCCATTTCATAGTTGAATAAATACTGAGGTTTATAGTGATTAAATAATTCATTCAGATCTATAGCTAGGTGGGTCTTAGATCTCATTGTAGGCTAATCCATAGTTTATACACACACACACACACACATACATACACATTCACACACGTGTATCTTGTATATGAGCGTCTAATTTAAAAAATGGAAATACTGCTCCAGCTTAGCATTCTCAGGGTAGTGTGTTTGGGATTCAACACCATTATGAAGATAATTGAAAATACTTTCTTGCTGGGCAGTGGTGGCACACGCCTTTAATCCCAGCACTTGAGAGGCAGAGACGGGCGAATTTCTGAGTTCGAGGCCAGCCTGGTCTACAGAGTGAGTTCCAGGACAGCCAGGGCTGTACAGAGAAACCCTGTCGAAAAACCAAAAAAAAAAGAAAGAAAGAAAGAAAGAAAAGTACTTTCTCTTTCGCTGTTTGACTTTTGCATTGATGACACAAAAACAATGCTGATAAAGCTGTTGATGGCTTTCTGTGAATCAAGACAAACACTCATCTGTACCAGAGTTTGCAGAGTAACCACTTAACCTTGTACTCCCAACGAAATACTCCAGTTATAGGCAGTTACTCAATGATGTTTTGCAGTGTATTAAACATAAACTTCCATTAATGTTATTTTGTTAACTATATCCTTGACTGTGTATCTTCTTATATGTTCTGTGTGGTGAAATAGTGTATATAAAGTACTTCTGTGTCTGATATATCTTGATTGTGTTTAGGAAAAGCATGATTGGCAAGCTGAAATACTTGTTGCATTTTAATTGAACACATGTATGATTGAAAGACAGTTTCTCTGTAAAAGCTCGGGCTGTCCTGGAACTTGATTTGTAGTCCAGGCTCACCTTGAACTCAGTGATCTCTCTGGCTCTACCTCCCAAGTGCTAGTAGTAAAGGTGTGTACCACTAAGATAGGTTTGATTTTATTATTTTTAGGAAACAATCATGTTCATAAAATGATATACCTTGCCATCTTTACCATGTTATGTTGTTGAGAATCAACTCAGCTGTCAGCCACATTAAAAGGAAGGGAATCACACAGAGTATGAATATCAGAAGATGATTATCATGGAATCCACTTTAGAATGCTGTAATTCAGTCCTCAGATTTGGTACAGATTTCCTCAAAAACGAACAAAGTATACCTACCCCTTCATCATTTAATGGAAAACAGCTGATAGTAGTGTTCTTTCTTACCATTGATAAAATTTGATCTATAAGCAAAAATCAAGATTTTGGAAAGCTTTAATCTGCCATTTTTGATCTTGGTTGCTTCATGGTTCCTTGATGGATAGTATAAACAAATTTTTGGTGATGTATTATGAATTTTTCAATATTTGAGATAGTTCAGTGAAACCAATAGTTTGCAAATAACCAAAGTATATGTTACTGAAATGTCTGTGAGTAAATAGTGTACTGTGGGCTAATGATTTCAATGGGACAGGGCACGAAAAGTTCACAAATCAAAAGTTTCAAATTTCATAGTGATACACCTTTAAGAAAGTACTGGCTCATGAGTTTTGGTAAGATCAGAGTAGTATGTCTACAGTGGTTATTCATACTGCTAAAATGTTCCTTTTCTGAGTTACATATTGTCATGGTCCTTATTCTCTTTTGAGAATTTAGCTTAGTTATTAGAGAAGAGAGCTTGCTTATTACACAGATTTCAGGGTTCAGGCACATACAACTAATCCCAACGCTTGTTGATATACAAGCAGGAGGATCAAATGGTGAGTTTGAGGCTAACTTGAGATACCTAAGACTCTGGCCCCCAGAATGAAAATAAAAGTTGCAAAGATACAAAATAAGACTACTTTCATGCTGATCCATAATAGGGTTAATGTAATTTAAAAATAAATTATTAATATTAAATATTAAATTATATAAATTATATGTTTTATATTAATATTTAATATTTTTCTGCTTCATTTTCTAGTTCGGTAAATCTCAACAGGTAAATTTTAACCAATGTAAAAAGTGTTTTGGGGTTTAGTTATTTTTAAATGTGTAAAATCCACTTGGGAGGCAGAGGCAGGCGGATTTCTGAGTTCGAGAGTTCAAGGCTAGCCTGGTCTACAGAGTGAGTTCCAGGACAGCCAGGGCTACACAGAGAAACCCTGTCTCGAAAAAACCAAACCAAACCAAAAAAAAAAAAAAAAGGTGTAAAATCATCTTGAAGCTGGAAAGTTAGGTGAGCACTGATTTAGTGAATAGTAAATATTCCTTAAAATAGTTCATGTTTAGACAAAAAAACAGTCTCTTGGGTCCTGTAGAACTCCAAAGGCTTTTATTTATGTTCTTAAAAAATTAATGTTACAGTTATGTTTTTTATTTTCTTATACTTGTCAGTAGTTGTTTGGCACTTAGGAAAGAGAACTGGAGAGGGAAAGCTCACTAATATAGTTAGACAAGTCTCACAGTCTCAGGAACAAAGTAGCAAAGAGATGATCTTTTAGCTTTTATAAAAGTTAGAGAATAAAATCTTTTCAATGAGAATATTTATTTCTGTGACCATAAAAACACCTCAATTGATGGTTTGTAATCCTGGGAACCTTGTTGGAGAAGAGCAGATTTGCCAGTTTATTTGAATGCAAGCTTAGGGATCATATATTTAAATCTCACTTATCTGTGTGGTCAAAGCTAAAATCACAGACTTTTATTCTGGAAGAAATGGTCTTATTTACGAGTCTTTCTCTCTGAATGTTGAAGGCTACTGGTTTTAGTAAATTATTATTTGAATTAGTTTTAGTAAATTATGTGTGTTTAATTTTTTATGGAATATCTTTGTACCTCAACACCTTTTTCAGGCAGGGATTGAATATATTATTGTTAATATCATTGATAAAGTTAATATATATGGCCACTGAGCATGAATTTTATGTTATTATTTAGACTTGGATTATAGTTTCAACACTATCAGTAATAAACCTTAGCCTACCAATCTATATAACTGGAAGGAATATTGTCTTTATTAATACCAGTGTGATAATTATTTGATACACATTTACTGTGAAGAGCGAGTAAATTTAATACATACAATGTGGCTATTTTAGTTTGAAAGGTGAATGACTTGAAGCTCAAAAGTGACTTGCCTAAGATTAAGTGGTTAAATAAATGTAGGTCATCCTAATTCTGTTATAGTGACTACTTTACTCTTATTGCATTGAACAAACAGTTTTCAGGTAGTTCATTTTTTAGTTATTTTGAACTTGCATAAGATCAAAAATTCTCTATTTGAAAATTCTTTTTAGCTAGTTATTTGTTGACTAATGAGTTCCTTTGTAATACTATGGGTACTTAACGTTGGCTTTTTGGGATGTGTCTTAACAGGATTAACTTTATTATAGTTTTGTTAAAGAGTATTTAAAAGTACAGATATTTCGAGGAAGTGTTTATTTCAATGAAGAGTGTACTTGGTTACTGTTAGGTTATGAAACTACTAATTTTGTTTGTTTGTTTGTTTGTTTTTTACGTCTTAAGGTTCAGATGCCCATGTCCATCTCAAAGTCTTAAGTGTAGTGTTGCTTAAGATTATAAGTTGGTCCTATGACTTTATAACAATCTCATTGTCAGTAAAGGTAGTACAAAATGAAATTCTTAATTATACTTTAATTTATAAGCACAAAACAAAACCTTTATGTTTCTATGATTAACATATCTGAGAAGAGCTTAAAAAAAGAGATGAGTGTACATGCCATGAAGATTAGATCGTACAGGTCAGCCCTTACACTTTTTCACTAAATAGCCTTTGAGGAACATTTTCTACTTTTCAAAAACTTGGTAGTAATGATTATATGATAGCTTGTGGGTTTAACTCTTTATTATTGAAAATAATAGGTTTTAATTTTTGGCTGTTATCAGTAATTCTCCATTCAACTTTCTTTACCATAAATTCTTGAAAGTAGAATAAAGGACCTTTTAGAGACTTTGATAGCTACTGGTAAAGTTTTTATTCAAAGTCATACCAATATATAACCTAGTGACTAGTTGTGAGTAGTGAACGTTATCCTTCTTTTAACCTTATTGGAAGTAATACTAGTGTTATAGAAAAGAGAGTTCTGATATTTCCCATCTGGCTTCCCTCATGTTAGCCTCTTACCAGTTATTTAACAAACAGTGTTAACCAAACTTTAGATTCATCATTAGAATTTGAGTAGAAAAAATCTTTTTTATGATTCCACCTTGCAGTTATTCTTAACTTCTTCATAGTTTTGCAGTTACATATCTATCATTCATGATTCGAGCAGTTAAACATTGTGAGTAAATTAATTAGTAGTAGGCATCATTTTTAAACAATGCCTGTTTAATTGTTAAATATTTTTATTTGTATCTTTGTATCCAGTAAGTTGAAAAAAAGGAGTATATCATTTTTTTGAGAAAGGGTTGCTCAGGCAGGCCTTGAGCTTGCTATGTAGTTAAGGAAGATCTTCCTGTCTCCACCTCCTGAGTGTTAGGATCATAGATGTAGACTTCTGTGCCTGGCTTGTTTGTTTGATTGTTTTTAATTTCATGTTTTTTTGGTTTGGTTTTTGGAGGGGAGGAGAGGATCAGTTTATTTTTAAGCACTGCTTAATTTAAAAATCTGTGGATTATGCATTTTAACAGGCTGAAGGTTCAGAAATCACTCAGAGCTTACTTTGCACAGTGATTGTTCCTTATAAGTAATTTTGGAGTTCATTTTATATAAAAACATTCACTCTCAACAGTAATACTGTTGAGGAAATCCTTCTGGGAGTATGTTTGTTTCCCTGTGTTTTCATTGTGGAGTTTTTACTGATTCTCTCACTTGCTTCTTGATGATAATACTGTGATTTTAGAACCTCTTAGCATGTCTTACATTTATATCTTACAGATATAAATTAAATTTGCATTTCTTATACTTTTAAAACATTGGATTAAAATTTGCTGTCCACATTAGTTGATCAGTTTTAGTTGGGCAGATAGGAACAAACAAGCCCTATTTGCTGGCTTTCAGTTTTGACAGATGATTATTTTGCCCAACTAGTAATTACCTTTGTGTTTTTAACTTGTTGATAATTGAATCATCAAACATAAAAAAGTTTATCTTAATAATACAGAAATACTGTCAAATTGCTCTTATACATGTGTATAAAACAGTAGTTATACCTATGTCCAATAAATGTAACATTATTTCTTCAAATTTAACAGGGTTATGTAACAAATTCACCACGAGTTCTGTCTAATAACTCTTCAGAGTTACTGTTTGACTTGACCCAAGATACAGGATTATCACATTACCAGGGGGGACCAACACTTTCTATTGCAGGTTTGTTTTATTACTTTTTTCATTAAAATTGTTAAAAAGAAATGATGGAAAATCATACAGAATTAAGTTTCTGTTTTGAAATCCACATCTTTGTATTAAAGTGTTTGTATATTTTAACATGGACTCCTGTAAATAGTTTTGAGTGTCTTTTTTGAGGCAGCTTTATTTAAAATCATCATTAAACCACCGTGTACTCTTTCTCCTATGGAACCAATCTTGAAAACATCAGTGAATTAGAGGAGGCTTTAGATACTATAAACATTGTTAAGAATACATAATTTCTATGGCCGCTCATATAAAAAAAGGTGAATTCCTAATTAGGTTAGTGTCTTTCTAGTTCAGTAAGTGATTTCAGTATATAGTTAAGTATGATTTTATGATGCTATACAGTGGCCACAATAAAGAAATATTTGTTAGACTAGTGACATGACTCAGCAGGCAAAGCCACTTGGTTCCAAGCATAATGGCCTGAGTTCCAGCCCTGGGACCCACATAGAAAGAATCAACTCCTAGAAAGTTGTCCTCTGACCTCCACAGGTGTGTTGTGGCATGTGCGTATCTACCAAACCTTCCCTTTTCCTTCCTTCTCTTAAATAAAGGATAATTTAAAGAAGTGGTTCTTGGATGTGTTAGTGTACACCTATAATCTCAGCATTTGAGAGGCTGTGGCAGAAGAATTATCACTTTGATTTTAACCTGGAGCATGTAATAATTTCAAGGCCATCTTATGCTATATAGTAGGACTGTGTCTCAAAACAGATAGTCAAGTATTAATGATTTAGAAATAGTACAAAGTGATCTTTAGAAAATTAATGCAATTAGTTCATATGATAAGTATTCTTCATTAATTTAAAATATATTAGCATACCATGGAGGAATTTTGTCTTAGTGAAAATTCCTTGTAATTAAGGAAAGTTAATTTTTGAGCACTAGCAATTTTTATATATTCAAGTATCTTAACTAAGATGTACAAGAAAATTTGGAATGTTTAGATTATTTACTAAATAGATTGATGAGGTGTTTACCAGACTCTCCTGCATTTTTTTTTTTATTATAGGGCCTAAAGTGCTTTTCCATTTTACAAATACCTTATTTGATAAACACGTCTCTGAATGTCACTTACATACATAGTTTACTAAAATGTTTACTAATATCTTGTTAATAAAATAGGTACAAGCGAAAAGAAACGGAGAAAAAATATTTGTATTAAATCTGGCATTAGGAAGCTCATAGACTTTACTCATAGGAAAAGTCTGCAGTCTTGAAACTTCTGGGAAGAAAGAATAAAGACTCCTATTCTCCCTCTCAGCTTTCTACTACAGTGAGTGAAACTTCATTAAGTGGGATAACTAGGAAGTTGTAGGTTTGAACCTCTGCTCTTAAGAATGTTTAGTCTTTATCAGCTTAACTGACCTCTACATACTTTCTATTTTTTTATATTATTAAGAGATGGGGCTATTAATTTTTTTTGTGTGTGTGTGTGTGTAATTTATTCAATTCTCCACACCTGGAGCAAGGCACCTGAAGATACCACTTTGACTCTCTAGTTCACACAGGGCTTTTTTGATGCCCAAATAAGATAAGTGAAATGTGAAAATACATTTATAAGGTTCAAAGGACTTGGTATCAGTGTCAATCAGTGCTGTTCATTCAGTAACATGATTGACAGATTACTATCTATGGAGATTATGGGATTTTGATTTATACCTTGAAAGAAATTAGGATTTTTACTGGCAGAGCTAGGACTGTTTGGGAATAGAGAATAGCATAAGCCTAACAAAACAGATAAAGGGACAGAATTTAAAATACATGCACAGCCAGTTGAGATGGCTCATTCAGTAAAAGGATTTGCTTCCAAGTTTCACAACCCGAGTTTGAACCCTGGAGCCTACACAATGAGAGGAGAGAACAGACTCCTACAAGTAGTTCTCTGAGTTCCACTCAAATACCATCCATTGTGCATACTCATATGCACACAGATAAGTAAATAAATGTAAAAAAGATTGGAAAGAATGCAGAGTGGTTTTATTTAATGTTGATATTTCTTATGTTAAATTCTGACATTAAAGAAGTCTATTTTTGCCATCTAGTCTATTTTATAATTGGTTGCTTAATTCAAAATGCTATCACCCTTTCGTTTTCCAAATAACATAAACATGTGTTAATGAGATTGCACTACCAGAGATCTTTTTCATGTACCTGCATTGTATCTGTCTCTGACCGAGTGTTTTGAAGACAAGGAAAAATCATTTCTTTGTCTTCAAAGATGAAATGGTGAATTAGTATAATTTTACTTTCTTGGCAAAAAATAATAGGCAAATCTATTAGAGTAATTTTTAGCCTTTAAAACAAGTTAAAGTATAAAATGTTTTGTTATTAATAATAACTTATTTATTATTGTTTTCTTTGTATCAAATACTTTAAGGTACTTTCAATACATTGTTTGACCTTAAAATAACTCTGTAAAATAAGATACCATAACTTTACAGAAATAGAAACTGAAGCTCGTACAAATTAAATAAAAATACATAAACAGAGACCGACAGAATCTGGATTTTAACTTAGGCTATCTTACTTAAATGCCTAGAATTTCTCTAATAATGCTTCTACATCTGGTGTATAGATGGGTCTATTTAATGTGTAGTTTGCGAATCCTTTTTACAAAGTACATTATGTGTTATTTTTAAAAAGACTTTGTTTGCCATAGTTACAGTCGAATTGTCCCTTTTTTATTGTTGATACTCTAAGGCTTAATCCGTTAGCCTTTATGGTGATTTTTTCAAAAGGAAAATTATTTTTAAGAATAAAGTCTCTTTGTACAACTCAAATGCAAGAGTTTCTTTATCAGACATTCCTTAATATATTCCCTAAAATGGGACACAACTTCCTCTTTGATATTCCCTTTCATTTGAGTGAGTAAAATATTATTCAGGCATAGAAGGTTCTACTTGGTACATAGCAATAAGTGTGTAGTATTACAAGCCTTGAAGAGATCACATTGTTAGATGAGAAAGGACTAACATCACTTTAGGCATTTTAAGTAGTTTTAGCCAGGCATAGTGATGCACACCTTTAATCCCAGCACTCAAGAGGCAGAGAGGCAGGCAGATCTCTGAATTCATGGCCAGCCTATTCTACAGAGTTCCAGGACATCCACGGCTGCACTGAGAAACTCTTGTCTTGAAGGAGAAAAAAAGAAAGAAATTTAAAGGATTTATAAGTGTTTGGGACAAATTATTGTGCATGTGTGCATATATGTGTCATTAAAACTTCAATGTATTTAAGCATCTGAAGATAATTGGTTTTTAGAAACTTCAGAATATCTTTCTTCAGTTTTATTATTTTTTTCAAGCCATACTGAGAATTTTCTTGCATAGAAAGATAATTTTACAGATTGATTGACTAAATGCAGTCCTTAATAGTTTTTATACAATTTTCTCATACTTTCTAAATTTGTAACATTTAATTGCTTAGCTTTGTTTGAGACACATTCTTACTATGTAGCTTTTCCTTGCTGGCTTGGAACTGGGTAGGTAGACCAGGCTGGCCTTAGATTCAAGATCTCTACCTGTCTCTGCTTCCTGAACACTGGAACTAATGATGTGTGCCACCATGCCCAGCAATATTGTTTAATTTTTATCATTGATATAGCATAGTTCAATTATGTCATATATTTTAGTTACCACATATTTAGACTTAACTGTTTATGAGTAGTAATTTTTAATTTTTTAAAATCTTTCCCCCACTGCTTAAATCATTTTAGGTTTGAATGAAACTTCATTTTTATCAAAACGACCTTCTGATTCTGACATAAGCAGTGTTAACCCCAAAAAGCCTAAACCCAGTGAAAATATTTCTGGAACAGATGCCTCTTCTGTTGTCTCTTCAGAAAAGTCTCCATCAGTGATGTCTCTCCAAGTGGTGCCATCGCAAGGTAAAAACACTGGCCTACAGAAAAGAAATGTCTGTAGTATTTATAGATAAGTTTTGCAAATAGTTACAAATTAAGAAAATAATAGTGATTATTTAAGTTAAAAAGGGCTAAATCGGGCGACTGGAGAGATGGCTTATTGGTTAAGAACACTTAAAATTTTTTCAGAGAACTGTGTTTGATTCCCATCACCCACAGGGAGTGCCTCTCAACCACCAGGTTAGTCCAGCTCAGGGGACCTGACATTCTCCTCTGGCACCCATGGGTACCAATACAAATGCTTACATGTGTGTGCACCCAATAATAATTAAAAATAATTTATAAAAAACAACAAATAAAAACCCCTGAAAAGTGATGCATTTTATTTCATAATTGATCTGAATTTATTTTAGGTATAAATTGCTCATCAAATCAATCTAAGAATGGAACAACTTTTCCAAGAGCATGTCCCAAGTGTAATATTCACTTCAATCTTTTGGATCCTCTGAAAAACCACATGACGGTAAATCTTTTCCAAAATCTAATTTTGAAAGTTTGAAAATCCCTAAAAATATTAATGACTGATTTATAGTAAATGATTGTTTGACTTAGTAAGTTAGGCATGAACTCTTCTCATACTGATGTATCCATAGAGCTTAGGTAAAAATTTATATTCAATATGATTTATTTTATTATTATCATTATTATTATTTTGGTTTTTTGAGACAGGGTTTCTCTGTGTAGCCTTGGCTGTCCTGGAACTCACTCTGTAGACCAGGCTGGCCTCAAACTCAGAAATCCACCTGTCTCTGCCTCCCAAGTGCTGGGATTAAAGGCGTGCACCACCACCGCCTGGCAAAAATCTTTTTTTTTTTGTTTTTTGTTTTTTTTTGTTTTTTTTTTTGTTTTTCAAGACAGGGTCTCTCTGTGTAGTCCTGGTTGTCCTGGAACTCACTTTGTAGACCAGGCTGGCCTCGAACTCTCAAACTCAGAAATCTGCCTGCCTCTGCCTCCCAAGTGCTGGGATTAAAGGCGTGCGCCACCACTGCCTGGCTCAATTTGATTTATATGATAGTAAAATTCCTTAGTTCATATATTTACAATATATGTTTATTGTATTCTGAATTTAAATATATAATATTGATTAAATCATATTCTGATTTGCAAAACATTTTAGTGTGAATTCAATCTTTTTATAACTTAAAAATTCTATAGTTTATATATATATATATATGCAAATGTGTATTCCACATTAGATAATGAAAATAAATTATACACATTGTCAGTATTCAGACATAAACTTCAAATGTTCATGCTTTTCATATGAAATAATTGTTTTGATAAACACAGAATAGTTTGTATAATCATAAATTAGTATAAAGTTTTTATTGGAGTAGGAAGTTTTTGGTTTAGATTTGGAGAAAATTTCAAAGTATGTATCAAGTATGAAGTTTAGTTAACACTCTCCTTCAAATACTAGCTTTTATTATGCTCTGCTATGCCTTTGTAAAAATGTTCTGTAATCTCCTTGTTCCTACTACCAATGGCAGGAAGGCAGGAGAAGATAAGAAAAACAGCAATATGGAATATAAAAGGAAAGGAATGAAAGAAAAGAATTAAGTAGCAATGAGGTACTACAGGAAGAATTCTTGCTATTTCAGAAACTGACCATCATTTTCAAAAACAAAAACAGAATGAACTCACCGGCAGTAGATGGAGAAAGGTAGACATTTTTGTCAGTGATGTAGTTACTGGTCAGGTTGCTCATACTCCTGTAAATAACCCTTCACTCATAAAAGTAATCCTAACCAAATTTACTGAGCTAAAAAAAAGAGTGGAGAAAGGAAGACAGCTGAAGACAGTAGGAAGACTTCCTGGGATGTACAAGTGATTTCACCTTCTTTGTAATGTTTAATGAGACTTATGATACTTTATGTGTTTGATAGAGTTGGAGAGAGAAAAGGAGTGCATTAGTTACTCTTACTCAGTGTTTGACTAAGTAATGTAATCATGTGGTTCAAAAAGCCTACACAGGGGTGCAACTGAGGGATGTGGCCTGACGCACCGTCTGATTTATAAGGTGACACTCCAAAGAGAATTAACTTCTTATTAGTTACTTTATGTACTCTAGCTTTGTTTTATTGTTGTTGGCTTTGTGTGTGTGTGTGTGTTGTGTGTATGTGCGTGCGCGCGCACACATGTGTGTTAACAGATAAATGTGACTTCTTATTTTCCCTCTATTACGTGTACAAATTGTATCATACTATATAATCTTCTTGGCCTAGTTGACTATCTTTTCCTGTGATAAAAACATTATGACCATGGTGGTGTAGAAAGGAAAGAAAGGTTTTCTGTCTGCTTACAGCCAGTCCATTATGAAGTGATATCAGGGCAGGAGCTCAAGGAGGGGAGCCTGGAGGCAGGCAGGAACTGAATGGCTTGTTCAGCTGGCTTTATATACAACATAAGACTCCTTGCACAAGATGCACCCCCAGTACATGAGCCACTCCCACATTAGTCATTAATCAAAAAAAAAAAAAAAAAAGAAAAGGAAAGAAAAGGAAAAAAGAGAAAAAAAAAAAAGCTTTGCATAGTTGCCTGCAGTCCAGTGTAACTGAGGCGTTTCTCAATTGAGGTGCCCTTTTCCTAGATGACTCTAGTTTGTGTCATGTTTCCAAAAAACTAACCAGAACATTTCTGTACTTGAAGAAATTGGTGACCTCTATCCTAAAAGCGTTTTTAAAAATATTTATGATTACTTTTATTGGAAATTAATAAAGGTAATCATGTAGCATTTAAATATTAGAATATCATAGCATTCATGAAAGCAACATAATTCATATTTTATGATTTTTTTTTAAATTTTGAGTTTATAGATATTACATGTACCTCAGGAAAAATCTAGAAATAAAGCTGGATCTTTTATCCTGGGACTTGGCAAAAAAGCAGGCAAATCTCTGAGTTCAAGGGCAGATGTTTACTTCACAAATTGCAGGCCAGCTCTGTCTTCAAGAAGGAAAATACAGAAACATAAGTAACAAAGCCTTTTCTTACCTCTGTTTTTTTTTTTTTTTTTTTTGGTTGTGGTTCCATTCTATCCAAGGGAAAAAGGTCATCTTATTAGGATACTAGTATACTTATATTTTTTTCTTTTTTCTTTCCTTCAAGACAAGATTTCACTGTGTAGCTATGGCTGACCTGGAACTCACTGTGTAGACCAGGCTGGCCTTAAACTCACAGGGATCCAAGTGCCTCTGCCTCCTGAGTGTTGAGATTGAAGATGTGATCCACTATTCCCAGCAAATACACTTACAGGTGCAACTTTAACTTGTAAATATAAGTTAATGCCTCTCTTGTGAATCAGTTTTATTCAGTATTATTCCTACTTCCTAAATATATTTTAAATGTGGTTTTGTTTTTGTTGTTGTTGCTTTGTTTTTTGAGTGTTTTGGGGTTTTTTTGGTGTTTTTTTCTTTTCTTTTTTTACATTTGTGGGTTTAGAAATTGAACAGATAATTCTGGCAATCAGTTCCTTTCAAGAATACTTGAATCTCCAGCACCCACATTTTAAAAGGTCCATGTGGTGGTTGATCCAGGCTAGGTGGATGGTTCTTGAGGAATGACACTATGGTTCATTCTCTTCTAGTATTGTTGTCCAGACATGATAAGTAACTTTTTGGGATTGACTAACCCAGGTCATCTGGCCTCCGTATACATGTGCATGTACATGCTCTCACACCTGTGCATGCACACCTGCATTTACATGAACGTGCATATGCATGTATATGCACACATACGTAGTAACACACATGATATAAAAGATAAAAGCTGACAATGAAATGAAGTAGGAATAATGTAACCTTGTAGAAGATGCTATAGATCTATCTTCCATCATGGGCCTACCTCCTCGCATTATACTGAGTGTCTCATGAATGATAATAATCCAAAGAGTCACATGTGTCAGAAAAGGAAGTAGATGTTGTAATCATAGCATGGAATAATTGTGTTCCATTTCAAATGCTGATTTAGTATACTTAGGAAGCATTTATGTTATAAAAGAATTACGTATGTTTCTTGTTAAAAAACAAATACCTTTTAAGCCTTGTACAGATTGCAGTTTAGGTGGTCTTAAGCAGTGCTAGGAATTACCATTTAATGAACCCTTACAGATTTTCTTATATAGGTTTTTCTAGGTTTTCTCTCAAAGAAAAACTCATTTAAAAAAACATCCAACTAAAAATTATGTATAATGAATAAAATTAGCTATATCTTGATTTTAGAACGCTCATATGGAAAGTTTCATATCACAACCAGTTTTTGTGACTTTACATACATACATACATTTATTTATTTATTTATTTATTTATTTATTTATTTATTGTGGTTTT